CTACCCCTACCGACTTTGGCAATAAAATCGCCCATTATGATGTTGATATCATTTTTCTTTGTGACCTTTAATGCTTCCTTTATGTCTTTATAGAAATCTAAAACTTCAATTTCCTGTTTATCACTAAATTAATAAACTTCACTATGATTACTCTGTTTGAAACGGGTATGTAATCTATAACAGACATCGCAATTCTATTATCAAGCACTATTGTAACTCCATGCCCGTGGTAATTATCTGTGGCGTCGCTACCGGAATAGTACATTGTAAAGTTGTCTTTGTGAGAAATACCTAAGCCAGACCACCTCAATTCACTTACACCCATTGTTTTCACTTCTAGGCACCGCATTTCTTTGAGCAGGTTATGCAACTTTCCTGGGATGTGCAAACTATTGACGTTCCATGTCGCTATTTTATGAATAACATCTTGAAGTCGAACATGGGCAACACTCAGAAGAAATGAAGATCGGTAGAGGAGTTAGACCGGGATGTGTTCTATCGCCACTTTTGTTTAACTTATATTCTGATGAAATTTTTCAAAACACGCTCAATATCATCAAAGCGGGAGTTACCGTTAATGGAAAATTAATTAACAACTTACGATATGCAGACGACACTGTGATCATAGCAACGAGTATAGAAGATCTACAACATCTTATCGAAAGCTTAAGTATGAATAGTACTGAGATGAGAATTACTATAAACGCTAAAAAAACGAAGTACATGCTAATTACAAAAAGACCACAAAATATACATCACCTATTGACAATCAGTACTTAGGAACTTTGATCAATGAAACCAATGATCATACTGCAGAAATAAACAGGCGAATAGAGATTGCCAGATCAGCATTTATACGAATGAAGCCACTCCTAACGTGCAAAAATTTAAATTTTGAGATCAGACTACGTACTATTCGCTGTTATATATTTTCAATATTATTATATGGAGCTGAGACTTGGACATTAAAAAAATGCAATTTAAAAAAAATCGAGGCATTCGAACTCTGGTTATACCGCAGAGTATTAAAAATATCATGGACTGATAGAATTACAAATAAAGAAGTACCGGAGATTGTTGGTAAAGAAATAGAACTAATCGCCACTATGCAAACTAGGAAACTGGAGTACCTATGCCACGTGATGAGGGGACCAATAAATGAAATTTTGAGACTCATAATACAGGGAAAGAGTCAAGGAAGAAGATCTGTTGGCCGAAGGCAGAACTCATGGTTGAAGAATCTACGTGATTGGTATCAATGCAGATCGATTGATTTGTTGAGAGCAGCAAGTTCAAAAATAAAAATAAATGCCAACCTCCGTATGGAGACGGCACTCTAAGAAGAATAACTACAGGCCCGTTCCTAGGGTAGTGAGCGCCTGCGTGCAGGATTTTTTGTGCGCCGCCATATTATGTTTTTAAGATACCTATATCATAACATGTTCTTGTGATATGATTGAAAATATGATATGAATGTAAAAAGAAAAATAAAACGTACCATGTTTGAAAAAAGGTTTTATTTTCAAAATTAAATAAAGAAAAAAGGTCATTTTAAAACAATATTATTATGTAAGTTAACAGTAAGAAAGAAAACACTCAATTCGCAAATTAGTAAGGCATTCTGGAATATAACATGAAACAATAACGGAAAGGAGATACTCTCAATGCAAAAAAAACTTTATTACATAATACATAATATGCCACGTCGTGCTTTCACAGATGCAAGCTCATTAATCATTTCATTGTGATCAATGGCTTCACAAATTTTATCTTCAATTGAAATGACTGCCAAATCTGATAGCCTTTCTTGGCACATTGACATTCTTAAATAATTTTTTATGAGCTTTAGCTTTGAAAAACTCCTTTCGCCAGATGCCACCGAAATTGGAAGGGTCAGGAATATTCTCAAGGCTATAAATAGATTTGGAAACAAGGATTGTAATTTTTCTTTGTTATATAATTTAAAATATCTATGGGCGAATCCGAAATTTTGCCAGAGTCTGTGATTGGGTTAAGAACTTTGTATGACAGAATTTCATTATGTAAATCAAGACCATCAATATCTTTGCATACGTTTCCTTCATGTTGAATTTGTAAAGCTAAATCCAAATCCATACATGATCTTTTAATCACATCAGAATCTAGATTTTAAAAATTACCCAAAAATCCAAATAAATCGTGGCACTTATCTATTCACCCAAAGCGTCTTTGTAGGGATTGAATTGTTGTGTCCAAAATTTGAAAATAAAAACTGATCTTAAATTTTTGTTTTGGATCGAATACTGTTTTATCTGTACCTTCATACGAAAATTAAAGCTTCGTCTTTCTTTGTCTTAATAATGGAAATGTTTGCTCTGCATCACTTTTTTCTGCTTCTGCTACAGCCTCATTCATGAAAATCTCGAAATGTTTCTCTGACCTCTTTTCAGTGAAATAAATAATAAGATTTTCTATTTCTGTATGGCATTCATTTAAAGTTATATTTGGATTCTGGACCATTTTACTTACAATATTAATTTTTGTTAATTCATCATGCCAAATTATAATAGAAAAAATGAATTTGAACGTTTTAGTTTTGTCTAATAGTGACCTTGCTGAATGTTTCGTGTTCATATCTCTTGAATTATCTTCCACCAAATCGTGTAAACTTTTACAAATTTCGAGGAATTGAAACCTAAGAGGGCGAATGGCTTTGACTCTGCTTTCCCATTGTGTTTCAGTTACTGATTTTAAAGTTAAGTTTGGTACATTCCTTTTTAAAATGTGCTATTTGTAGGGTGAAGTAGAAAAAAAATTGAACAACCTGAATAATTAAAAAAAAAACCTACAGCCTCATATGAAATTTTAGCTGCATCATTGACACTTAAATTAAAAGTGTGAGCTGAACAAGGCAAAAACATTGATCTGGGATTAATTTTTAGAATTTGAACCTGAAGGCCCACATGCTTGCCAAACATATTTGCCTCATTGTCGTAACCCTGACCTAGACCAGAACAATAAACGAAGCGAATTATGACCGTCAGCTGCTCAACATGGCTAGCATCTGGAGATTCATCCAAAATAATTGAGTAATATTTTGCTGTTCTGAGGCAACTCAGAATTTCTTTCTAAATATTTCGTTGATAATAAATGAATTAATTCATTTTGGAAGTGATTGCTCAGGTAATGAGGCATATTTTGGCACAACCCTTTAGACCTTCGAATATTGCTCAGGTGTTCCATAATAATTGGATCGAATTTAGCAATCATTTCAACTAATTTCAAAAAATTTCCATTATTAGTCTCATAAAGATTCGTACTGTCACCCCTAAAAGCTAAATTTTGGCCAGCTAAATACTGCACATTACAAATCATTCTTTTAATGATTTCACGCCATCGCTGTTTTTCAATTTCATAATATTTTTGTTGCTTTTTATCAATAGTACATTCTTTACTCAAACGCAATTTTAACTCGTGCCATTTTTGAGCGCTTTTCATACGTTCCATGCTATTTTCATGACGAGAAATATTAACAGAAAGGTGCCTCCAGTTAGAGTTACTTATTTATTTTTATTTTATTTAAATAAATAAGTTAACTTATTTTACTTACTTCTAGCAGTTTATTTGCCGCCTTAAACTTAAAATAAACTTTAATGACAATGATATTGCGAACAGAACATCCTAAGGGTGGCCGCACACAGAAAGAGCAAAACCGTTTTAGTCAAAAACGTTTTTGACTAAACGAGTCTGATGTCGATGATTCCATGTAAATGAAATGAGCTGACGTACACTGATTAGTCGTGTTTTTGAAATTCCCTTCTTGAAACCGCTCGAGTAATCAACAAGAAGCACATGTGGAAAGCGATATTTGGCTTGTTTATATTGTGTGTATCATGGAAGTCAGCGCAGAAAAATTAATTGTACTGATTGAAGCCAGGCCTCCTTTATATAACTATCAATTAAAAGACCCTTAATTATTGGAGCAAAAACTTAAGAGTTTTTTTAGCAGTTCTTTTCTCATTTATAGGATACACCCAAAATTGTCTTTTAGTTTGCGTTTTTTCGTCTTGTAGGAGCAACCACTGCCAGAAAAGTAGTGCAATTTCGTCGTTATCTGTCGACATCTTTAATAAAACTGTTTGCAGTATGGTCTGTGCAAACATTTTGTTTCTCTTGCAAACAAAATGTTTCTTGTGGAAACAAAAACGTTTTCGTTTCAAACAAAAACGTTTTTGACTAAAACAGTTTTGCTCTTTCTGTGCGCGGCCACCCTAACCCATAAGAAAAATCTAACGACTGAATTAAAACGTTACGGTTTACTGCGCAAACGACAATTTCGTCAGAGGCCGGCGCATCGCGCATCCTTTCTTAAGACAACCACGCGGGCGGCATGCCGGCAACACAAAACATTAAAAGTGAGCATCGTGCGGCATAAGACGGCGTGTCGTATGCTGACACTAATAAAATTGTAGGGTGGTAATTTAATTAGTAATTTTGGTATTATAATAGGGAATAGTAAACGGATGAAGTGATTGCTTTAGCACTTACCGGGGAAATACTGAACACTGACTTTTTTTGTTTTAGAAGTGAGAATATTTTTTTAATGGTAACCAAATATTTGGCGCCCCTAAAATTTAGCGCCTGCGTGCGGGGCATTCATTGCATACCCGCCAGGAACGGCCCTGAATAACTACTATGATTGGAAATGAGGAATTTCGAATTTGACAATGTTAAAATAACAGCGTCTTTGTTCATAACTAGTTGTCGTATGATTTAAATTTAAAATTACTTTGGATCTGGAGTTAACCTCTAATTAACTTGACAAAGTGTAATTCTCACTTCCATGACATACATTTAAGTGAAACGTTCTGATTTTATTCGTATAATTTTATTCATCGCGCATGTGCAAAATATTGCTGGATTAAATATAATATATACAGTATTTTATTCAGAGTTTTCATTGCATTGATTCTTAAATAAGTTAACTTAAAAGATATTATTTTAGAATTTCTTTATATTAGGTTTACTAAAGACGAGCAAACCAAGATATGTTGCATCCTAACTACTGCTGAATATTGTTTAGACACCACACAACAACTGGAAGATAAACTGAAGGAAAAGATAGAGCCCTCTTTAGTAGATCAAGTTGATTTAACCAAAGAACAGGATAATTTCCACAAGTGAGTTTTAAATTTTGATTTATTATAATATAGTTCGTCCGTTTTATCTCATGTGACATGTTTTGTTTTTAAATCATTAATCAGATTTATTTTACTTTTATTTAAAAGCATGTATTTTATTTTCAGAGTTATATCTAGCTGTATTCAAATTTTGGTGCAGGATTTGGAAAATTCATGTGAACCTGCATTAACAGCAATGAGTAAGGTAAGCCCAATTTTTCTTATATTGGAATAGTTTAACTGTATCCTTCTGCTACTGCTAGAATAGGTCGTTGCTTTTGCACTATTTTTTAATTTTACAGGGAAATGAAAATCGTTTCACTGAAATTTAGTTATAACTTTTTAAATGACCTGTATAACACAAAACAACTTTGTAATGAGAAAGCGATGCGAATTTAAAATAAAATACAGGGTGTTTCATTAAAAAAAAACTGTATATCTGTAACTTATTTTAAAATTTGAAGCTTACAGCAACCTCCTATTTTTATAAATAACCTTTTGGTATCTCCCATAACAACGGAATAGAATAACGGACTTTGTCACAAAACTTAATCAAAATGTATATGGATATTATTATATTATGTAATTTCATTATTTTCTAGGTACAATGGCAAAACGTGGACACAGTAGGTGACCAGAGTTCATACATCACAGCCATAACAACTCACCTGAAAACCAACGTTCCTATAATCCGAGAAAACCTGTCACAATCTCGTAAATACTTCACTCAGTTCTGCATCAAATTTGCCAACAGTTTCATTCCCAAATTCATCCAAAACATCTACAAGTGCAAACCGATAAATACGGAGGGCGCGGAACAGCTTCTGTTAGACACACACATGCTGAAAACGGTATTGTTAAACCTGCCGTCTATTGCGTCACAGATAAATCGCCCGGCACCAGCTGCGTATATCAAGGTGGTCACTAAAGGAATGACAAGGGCAGAAATGATTTTGAAGGTGGTTATGACACCGATCGAACCTTCGAAGAACTTTGTTGAGCAGTATAAGAAATTGTTGCCGGATAGTCAACTGCCGGAGTTTCATAAAGTGTTGGATATGAAGACTGTGAAGAGACAGGATCAGGTAGTGCTGTCGGATATTTTTAAAAGCTATAAGTAGAGGTTTTATCATGTTTGCGTCACATTTGTGAGAGAGATTAAGAAAAGTGTGCAATTTAAGTTAACTGTGTGTTACGTGGAATTTTTGTAGAATGAATGTTGAAATGCAAATTGACTGGATACTAAACGAACGATGATTTACAGTTTTCTCTAAAACTTTGAAAACGTTTTATAATTCTTCTGCTTTATGTTTAGTTACTCGAAAGTACTTAATGGATATTCCCAAGCAAGGACACAATAGCCAAATTATCTCTTACTTAAATATTTTATTCTCTCATTGAACATGAAAATTAATTGCGATTCATTGATTTTGAATTGATTAACGGCAAATTATCCTTTAATGTCCACTACTGAATATCGAAACACTTTAATATATTCCAATGGACTGCCGGAGTGATGAGATGACTTAGATTTTATTTAGATCTGTCTGTTTCACTTTCCAAATAAACCTTGTTTAGTGTGAAGAATTTGCATTTTTCTTTTTTTCATTTTTTTTTTACAGAATCTTTCCGCTTTTTGCAATACCCAAGTGTTCTAATAGTTACTACAACAATTTTACAAGGTTGTGTAAATAATAAAGCATGTTGTTTTATAAAAATAGCAATAAAATGTATGTATCAATAAAGTAAGGTTAGAATTTCTTTAATTTAAACTTTAAAACTGTATTTCATAGAAATAGAACACTGAATTATGATGATATTATCGTAAAAAAATACTATACTTAAAACAAAAAGCAGCAGATGCAGCAAAATTTCAACTTTATGGAAATTAAACAGTTCTGAGATTGGGGATTTTTGTTTTGGAAAGTAATAACACAGTATAGACAACATACTGTGGTAATAATAACAATATGGCCGCGTGACGTCACACTCCGGCTGTCCATTGATCCTGCTATAAATTTGATATAAACAAGTTATGGCTGTTTCTTAGTTTCCCTTCATTTTTGATCTTTCCTAGACTCTATTCGATGATTATTTTCGTCCATCTATTGCCCATAACGTGCTTTAAAGTGATCTTATGGAAATTGTTTCACTCTTGCCCTCAAATTCATCCAATCTACTTTAGTTCTACTTCCTCCTGTATCTGGATCTCCTTCACAGTTTTAACTTGCAAAGGTGCAATATGTTTTTAAAAAGGTAAAAATTGTGAAAAGTTAGGAATACCTCCTAATAATTTCTTCTATTTATACAGGGTGATTCATAAATTAAAATAAGTTAATTATACGTTAACATTCCGTATATCAGTACATAAATATAATTCACAAGGAAAATGAAATTCCTGTATTTGGCTGTATATTATAAATCACAAAATTTTTTATGTAAAAAAGGTATAGGTATATATTAAAAAAAATGCCCTTTCAGGCTACATCACAGAATGTTTTCGGATTAACAAGTCCATCATCAGTGCAGTTACCAAGTATACATGAGTGAAGCAACTAAATATGTGCATAAAACGCTGATAAATTCGTATGATGTTAAAGTTTTGAACATATTTACTGCATGGCAACGCTAGACTTCCAATGGGGTTGCTGACCCTGAGACGTAGGTAGTATAGCAACTCTAGGTAGGATCGATATAGGTCTCAGGGTCAGCAACCTGCAGTCTACGTTTATATGCAGTAAATCTATTTAAAACTTAAACATCGTAAGAATTTATCAGTAAAGATGTAATCAATAACAAATTTAATATCATTTAAAGGGTTTTACCCACTAGAGAAGTGACGATATAATAGGAACTGCTATTAATAACTGCTTACTGACAAAAAACAGTCGCTAATAGTTATCTAATAAATAAGTTACCAGGTATTCAGTTATTTTTTATATCAAGTCGGTTACTCGACTTCGTCTAAATGTGCCTATCTTCTAGAGATGTTGGCGACCACATTGGCCCAACTTATTTTATACACAGCAGCTCGAAATAGATCAGTTGATGTTAGACCAGTCCATTTCCTAAGATTGGCCAGCCAGGATATACGTCTACGTCCATGACCTCTCCTACCCTCAATATTGCCCTGTAGAATCAACTGTAGAAGTCAGTATCTATCGTTACGCATGATGTGGCCGAAGTAAGCCAATTTTCTGTTTTTTTTTTGTGGTGTTAATAATTTATTTGTGTGTTCTTAACATCTGGAGAATAGTTGTGTTACTTGTGTGGTGTATATATGAGACCCTCAACATACGTCGGTAGCACCACATTTCAAATGCCTCCAATCGTTTTATGGCATCTTCTCAAAGGCTCCAGCTTTCTACTCCATAGAGGAGGACACTAGAGACGTAACATCTAAGAATTATTATGCGTATATTGATACTTAAACATAAGTTGCAAAGAATCTTCCCAAGGCTGTTGAAAGAGCTTCTGGCTTTTTCAATACGAGTTTTATTTCGTAGCTGTGATCCCAAGTATCCTTAATATTGCAGCCCAAATATCATATTTTTTCCACCTTTTCTAACGGTGTATCGTTAATTGTAATTTTGGCGTTTATGCCGGTTGTTCTTACTAATGATCATTATTTTTGTCTTCTTGCAATTAGGTTTTAGGCCGTATTTGTTACATGCTTCTACAACGTTATCCATCATCCTTTGGAGCCCCTGAGCACTATCTGCCAGCAAAACTGTATCGTCTGCATATCTAATATAAGTTGGCCTTTTACAGCAATCTTCTGATTCGTCCAAGGCCTCTCTAAAGATGTTTTCAGAGTATATGTTAAATAATGCCGGTGACAATATGCTGTCTGACTCTTTTTTCGACTGTGAAGATCTCGGACAGTTTATTTTCTAATCGTACTGTTGCTTATGTTGAAGATATACGTTTGAGATCAGTCTTATATCCTGACCATCGAGTCCTGATGTTTTTAGGATATCGATTAGTTTCCCATGTAGGACTTTATCAAATGTCTTCTCGAAATCAATGAAACATGCATAAACATCGCAGTTGACATCATGGCTCTCTGTATTAGAACTTGCAAACTAAAAAGTGCGTCTCTCGTTCCGAGTCCTGCTCTGAATCCAAACTGAACTTCACTCATCACTCAGGTGTTCTTCTAATTTGATGTATGTGCGCGAGTAAAGGAGTACTTAAAGTACATGGTTACTCGACTAGCCGACCATAATGTTTATATTGCTACATGATATTGAACAGCAATACGACTGCTGGTCGTTGGTAAACATAGAAAGTTACATAGCGGTAACAGCCCATCATTTAGATGACAACTTTCAGTTCCAGTCCATTTTACTAAAATGTTCCATAATTATAGGTCAACACCCTACCAAAAATTTAGGCCAAACTATACTGAAATATCGAATGAATGGGACATCGTTGACTAAATATTGCTAGTCGCCTCTGACAACAGAAACAATATAGTTGGAGCGATAAAAAAAAACTACTTACAGTGGAAGCATTTTGCCTATTTTGCCCACCCATTAAATTTAGTGGTAAATCATTCTATATCTTCTCCAGATGTTTACAATATTATCCAAAAAATAAAATCTATTGTTGTTACTTTAAACGTAGTTGTTTTTCAAATGAAAAGTTGATGAATTATCAAAAACAAAGCGGAGAACCATCGTTTAAACTTCTACAAGAAGTACCCACTAGGTGGAACTGGGTTTCTTACATGTTGGACCGATTTAACCAATTAGAGGAATCAATTAAAAGTACAATGGCATAAATTGACCAGAATCTTCCAATCTTAAAGGCAGAGGAATGGATAATATCCCGTCAATTGGGCCAAGTGTTAAGGGGGTATGTTCACGCCGCAGTTAAAATGAGTGGTAATCAAATAAACTAACGTTTAACAATTTCTTGAAAAGATGGCAGCACGTGCATCATATTTTAATATTTAGATTTTCTCCAAATTTAATTATCTGAACAGCGACAGTGTTGCCAACGAGGCACGAGGCCAAGTACTGGGAACTTAAAATATAATATACGATCGGGAGAATCGGTATAGTTCGCTCTCGGTCGGCAGTCTTCTGCAATGTAAGTTGAAATTGCGCTATCGTATTATTTGATTTGAAGTTTCACAAATTCTAATTTTTGGATTGGATAATTGGATCATTCCATATCATTTTTTAATTTTTGTATCGTGTTGCGTTGAGGTTCATTTACCTTTGAAGTTAAATTGTTGTTTTGTTTTTTTTTCGTAAACATTTTAAATGGTGCATATTAGTTTTGTAAAAAACTAAATTTATTTCAAGTACAAAAAAATACTTATAATAAAAATTTAAACCTGTAAATTTCATAATTTATTAACCCATCAGAGGACGCTAAGGACTGATCAGTTCTTTGTAATTTTACATTTATCTTGGCAATAAGACTATTGAATTTATATTAATTTTCAGCTAGTAAACGAAAAGCTTCCGTTGCTAAATCAATTTTTCTTCATTTTAAACTTTACTCTGTAAAAATGTCATTAACCCACTCTAAAGTGTGTTTTTAAAGTTGTAACTTCTGTAGTTTTTCCAATATTTTCCATGGACACGAAAACATAAGATGCCATAGTCGAATCATATTTTCTGGCAGACATGAATTAATAAGAGGATACAATATCGGCGCTAACTTGTCAGCAGTTTTGTCTAAGGTCTCAAGTGAACGAAGTTGACTATCAATCATATCATAAAGAGCAGAAATATTACTATTATATATATAATTATATATATAATTATATATATATATATATATATATATATATATATATATATATAATACTAAGAAACTCGACTTAAAATTAACTTTGAGAGCTCTCTAATGTAAACTTCAATTTGGAGATCCTCTATGCCAAACCTAGACTGCAATGTCTGAATAATTTTTGAACTCGATTGGAGGTAATTTAAATTTGGGCTTCTTCGGAAGCTTCTTCGAATATACTTTTAAGTACCGTAGGTTAATCGAGGCAAAATTTTGCCTTGGTTTTACCATTATTTACCTTTATATTCGTACTTGTTGAATCACAATATCGAGTAATAAAAAAAGGGGTCGATGGTCAGAAGTTATATCGACAGCTGTTATATGGGCAATCAATTGAAAATTTTGGATTATTGATAAGAAGAAAATTATTTGTAAGGTATGCTTTAGGTCAAGCTGATGTAAAAGAGATTTCATGTGCAGAAATTTCTGTGTGGTGTTTTGTCTACAACTTCCTGTTCCTTTCTATGTTAATCAATGTAAATTGAACTACCGATTTGTTTGCTGTCGTTCAGATCGTCAAATTAAGTATCTGTACGGTAATATTTTTCCTTTTATGTACTGTTTTGTGAATTTATTCCAGTTATTAGTTTCGGTTTCATAATTAATTTTTCATAAGTTGATTTTTGTGAGTGTAAGAGAATCTTTCTGTGCAATATGAGTGGAAAGCGAAAGAGAGTAATTGCACCTTTGGAAACAAAAGTGAATACAATTAAGAGGTTGGACAAGGGTGAATCAATAAAGAAGGTTTCTTTAGATTTATATGTCGGAGAAGTAACT